AGGCACAGGAACACAAGCTGCTCTGTGTGCTCACAGCTAAACAATGTAATTTAATATAGTTTTGTTTATGTTATAGTGTCTTTTAAAGGCTTTTTAGAAGAAACAAAATGAAAACAAAGTAAAGCAGGTAAGTTAAAGAAGGCATGAGCTAAAGCCTAAGTAAGTTTCCACAAAAGCAACTGCAAACATGTTGTTCCAGGCAGTATATTCAGCAGTTTCAAAGCTTCATAAGAGCAAATATAGTACATGAAAATTATACAGATTTATATTTGGAAGAGACCTATCTTACTTACCATTGGTACTGGAATGCAAAACTGTCTGCTATGGTTACAAGTTTGGGCTCCAGATCCTGGGTTCTGTAAATTTAAATGAAAAAGTATTTGACCATATTTTTTGCTTTTGCTACTCAATCTAAAACTTTATTTCCTTGGAGGTTGAAAACAAGAGTTTCTTACAGCGCTACATGATAGGGGAGTCAACATTTCTGTTTTATATTCACAAATACTAGTAAGCTAGGCATTTGAGTTTAGTGGGACAGCAGGAATCCTGCACTTTCTACCAAAACATATGGTAGACATCAACATTGTTTATAGTTAGCAGGCAATGCTCCTGAGGCAGCACCGGAAGCAGTGGGAAAGTAACAAGAACCAGAATCCCTGTAGTATGCTTTCAATCAGAGGTAACCTACACAGTTTTAGACTAAATTGAAAATCCAACAGTGTTAGTAGATTTTTCTGTGGAGAGGAATACCTTATTCCTACAAAGGTACTCACTGCTATAAAATTTTAAAAGGCAAAATATAACTTGAGTAAGAAAATAGAAATAGTCCCTCTTTGTATTAGGAGACATGGAATTAACACATAAGCATCAAATGTTAAACCACAGCAAGTGTTGTAAGACTTGAATGAAACCTTGTAGTTTATCAAATTCCATCCATTAAATTAAACCCAACAGCAAAACCCTAAAAGTTCAAATTTGTGTACACTGTGTAAAAGGCAAAGCCAAGATGACAAACACACTTCACTGGTTTTACAGTAAATCTGACAGATCAGTTATTACAGTAATCTAACCGGCAGCAAATATTAAATTAAAAGCACCCCTCTATTCATGGAAGTTTTCTAGTCAGCCTCAAAAAGATGGGAGAGAATGCAAGAAAACACACCTACAGATTGGGAACAAAACTACAAACAGCAAATCCTTGAGACAGCTTAAGTACAGACACACTGGAAATGCTGCAACTTCACTTCCAGGGTAGGCTCTGCCTACTTTATCAGAAGCTGTCTATTGAAGGTGTTCTGTATTTCCCCACCCATCACCACTAGGGAATAAAGGTGTTCCTCTTTATAATCTATTCCCAAAGATTGTTAACAGTAAAGCAGCACTACATTAAAGTTCTTACAGAAATTCCTCTGGTTTCTCTTCCTACTACCACTCTCAAGCAACAACCAACTGAGCTGAAATTCACCTGACTCCTTTATTGTGTTGACAGAAAATGACAAAATTATGTGAATTTCCCCTGTTTACATAAGCTTTACTGAGAAGTAGGAATCCATAGCAAATTTAGAATTACCGCCTACAATTTAAAAATACATCTATTTCATTATCGTAAGTTGTACTTCTAGGAAAACTGGTGTTACTGATCAATAACCGTCAAACAAAATATCATCTATTAGCAAAGTACTCCAGGAAAAAGAGTCAGCTGAGATGATTTTACAGCACTCCTCAAGCAGCAATCAATGACAAAGAATTCTGGAAAATCCAAAAATCTGCCCATAAAACTACACTGTAATTACTCTTAGTTTTGGTGGAAGATTTTCACAGAATCACAGGATCATTACGATTGGAAGGGACCTCTGGAGATCATCTGTTTGAATGGTTCTATTGGAACCCCATTTGGACACATCCCTGTGTAACTGCTGGTGGTGACCCAGCCTAGGCAGGGGCTTTGATGTCTCCAGAGAGGAAGAATCCACAATCTCCCTGACCAGCCTGTTCCAGCGCTCTGCCTCGTTGCTTTTTTCCTGAAAGAGCAAGGCATGACCAGCAACACAGCAAGCCATGGGCCTCTCTGAACAAGCTTCAGTTCTATTCTGTAGTCCACTTTCCCCCTTTTCTCTCTTCAGTTTCTGCTTGGTACAGACAATGGCATTAGGACTATAAATGCTCACATTCAAAAAAAGGAGAACCCTTATTAGCAAAGAAATTAATAACTACCAGTAATTCTGTAATGTAGTAACAGTATTCATTATTTACTATACACTTAATCCTAGCAGGCAATGTCACAGAAGGGAGAAAAGGGGGAAAAACCCAGTACTTCCTCATCACGGTGAATTTTAATACATGAACAAAGTCAAGATCCAATTGTGAGGACACTGCAGACACTGCAATACTAAAAATGGAGAGGACCAATATTTCCTTTGGGATGCACAAAGATGACAGAGCAACAGACAAAAGCATCTATTAATATGTATCCACACAAACCTCATCAATTTAGCTCACTATAAAACTTACAAAAAGTCAAAAAATAAAGAACCACTCTCCCCTAATTGTTTCCACTCTTGCTTCCAGACTCGTTTAAATTCTTCAACATAAACAGCTGCTTTCGTGCATTGCCTTCGTACAATTGCCCGGCTAAAAAGCTCTGTCGGGGGTAGCAAAAGACACTACAATTATGGGGGAGAAGACAAAACTGCTGGACAATAGACCTGTCAAAAATCAAAGCAAGGGTAACCACAGCTATGAGCAACCACGTCTTCAGCAGTGAATCAGCTTCCCGACCAGGCAGCGCTTCCAGAATCCGACGCCGCGGCAGTGACACGGCCGTGACTCGCCCGCAGCCCCCGGACGGACCGGCGGCCGCGCACGGCCAAAATCGCGGCCGGGAGCCGACCGCCGCCCCGCCCGCCCCCGGCGGCCTCCCGGCCCGAGCCCCTGCTGCCCGCCGGGCCTCCGCACTCCCGCGCCCGCACAAAGGCAGAACCTCCGCCGGCGGCGGCCGCTCGGGAGCCCCCCGGGAAGCCGCCCCGCCGCCCGCGGCCGCACGAACAATGCCCGAACCTGTTGCGCGGGTTCCCCCGGGCCGCACCGACCCGCCGCGCCCCCGGCGGGCCGGCGGCACCCACCGCGGGGCAGCGAGCGGGGCGAGCTCGCAGCCGGGGCTGCTCCGCGGCACGGCCCCGCCGCCGCCGCCCCGGGAGAGCCGGAGCCGCCGCCGCACGGCGGAGCGGAGCGGAGCGGAGCGCCCGCGGCGCCGGCAGCGCCGCCGCCCGGGAACAAAGCGCGGCCAGGCCGCAGGGCCTGCGCCGCTCTCCGCGGGGCGGGGGCCAGGGCAGAGCCGCTCCGGAGCGCGGGGACTCACCCGATGCGGCGCTGCGGGTGCCCGGGCGGGAGGACGCGGGGCGGAGCCTGGACCCGCTCCGGCCGGGCTGCGGCGGCGAACCTCGGCCGCCGCGCACCGCCTCGCTCGCCCAGCGGCAGCCCCTGGGGACGGGGGCGGCTCCGAGCCCTCCTCCGTCGGCAAGGAGACGGAGAGCGCCGGGCGCTGGCGGGCCCGCCCCGCGCCGCTGCCCTCGCTCAGCGCCGCCCCCGCCCCGAGCCGCCCGCCCCGCCCCGCCCCGCCGGGAGACAATGCGGCCGTGCCTAGCGCTGTGCTGTGCCCGCGGGCCCCGCCCGGCCCGGGCCGCCGCAGCTGCGGACGGCGGTGGTAACCACTCGGCGTGGGACAAGCGGCAGAGTCCGACTGCGGAGTTGGCAGCGCTGGCAGCCGCGCTGCGATTACAGCTCTCTGCTCCGCTCTCGGAGACGCGCCCTGCGTGCTGAGTGCGCGGCCAGCGGCTCCCCGGTGAACGCTGACAGTGCCTCGGGCAGGTGTCGGCTGCCCCCGGGGCCGTTCGCCACCGACGTTTCAGCACTCACGGTATCGCAGAATATCCTGAGTATATCACAGAATACACTGAGTTGGAAGGGACCCATGAGGATCATTTAGTCCAATTCAGCACTGACGTCTATTTTGTTTCACCTCTGATGGCAGATAATAGCCCATTGTCTATTTTAGCTCCTGGACAAACGCCCTAAAACTCTTGTCATGCCAAGATTAAAATAATAGAAGCAAAAATGCAGAAAGAAATGCTGTGAAGAAAGCTGGCTGGGACACTTGCCTTACATTTAGCCTAACCACTCTAGGACAGATTGGAGTCCTAAATCTCCTAGCTGAATACATCATTAGGTGACCTAATGGCTCTTTAAAAAATTGGCTTCTGCAAACTCTTATCTTATTTTGCTCCTGGTTTTTCCAGAGCAGTTGAATATAATTTATTGAATCTCATTCTGAGTATGAAAACTGTCTCACAGAGGCTGCAACTGCTTAGTTTCTTCCCTCAATCCAAGAGTTTGCAGAGCTGCCTCTGTTCACTTTTCCTGGTTGCTGTCCAGTCAACATCTGCTGCAGCCACCATCACCTTCGGGACACGCCTGTGGCACTGAGCTCATCCCTGGCCTCTGCAAACTCAGAATATGTCCCTCTCTCAGCAACACCACCCACTGCACATGCACGAGCAAAAGATCCTGTCATACAGATTTTCGGATGAGGCCTATCAGCCAAGGCCTGCCAGCCTCGAGAACACACCTCTGTTGGGCCTTTCTTTCCCAGAAGAATACTTAAAACAGCAGCAGCAAAGAAAAAGGAAGGGCAAAATGACTTCCTTCACATTTTAATTACTTCTTGGTAGAGACAAACAGAGATAAGTTATCTTCATCAGCTTCCCAACAAAAGTCAATTGCTGCACAGAACCAAATAAATTATTTTTTACTTTATTAAAAGAGGAAAACTTTAGCAATATTTTAAGTGTGTTCACTAATGATTTAAAAATGTGCCAGATAGAACTTCTACAATGCTCTTCTACATTTATGCTTATTGCACACTTGTGCGAAAAAGTTAAGATAATAGAAACTCACTATTCATCAATATCTACTTGAGATCCCTCAGACTGGATCTTTGTAAGCTCTGACTGAAGGACAAATAGTAATTCAGAACACTAGGTAGGTCATCTGATGCCTGACACATGTGAAAGCTCAGTGGGACTCTCTGGCACACATATCTTTAAAAGGAGCAAGACAAAAATAAACAAAGGAAAAACTACAGTTGATTGTCATACATTAATTTCTCTTTCTTATTTCACACATCTAAGATCCTCCATAGTGCACTTATTACACTCTGTGAACCATTCCTATCACATAGCCTATACTATAAATTGAGTGGTTTTGCTTTGCCTTGTAGATCTCTAATTTTCAGTACACATAAACTCATTAATCCTAATAAATTTTCTTGTGGCTACTTTTGGGAGAGGAGAGGAGTGGGAGAGAGAGAAGAAGAGGGAGAGGGAAAGGAACTCAGTCCAAAAGGATATAGACCCTATTTCTCAATTTTTCTGGTCTCAAATGGAATCTTTTCTCAAAGACAGAACAAGGCTTCTCCTGCAGAGGAGGGACAGAATTCTTGCAGTGCCTTCCATAAGAGAGAATTACCCAAAAGTCACTCATTTTTGTACTCTGGTTGGAGATATGCTAGTTTAAATATAAAAATATTGCAACAGGTTTTCTGACTTTTGTTTTCCATGCTCCGATTTTTGAATGAGTGGCCAGGACAGACTCTGACATAATTAATATTTTTTAAGGTCATGCCATCAGTTTAGAGTTGTAGTTAATTGCCTTTTCCATGCAAACTGCCAGTAGGAAGAAATCAGAGTATCAAGGATCCATTTGATTAAAATGACCCTTAATATATGGTGTTATTCTCCAGCAGCTGTGCCAGATTAACTCAAATACAAATGAAAGCAAATAGGCTGAAAACATCCTGAGCTTTGGGCACTGTGCTGTGTGCCAGCACAACAGAGCCTTTGTTACAAGGCAGAGCAGTGCTCTCACAACAGAGTTACTGCTTCCAGCTTCAGCCCTTGCTCTTCTAGAAAAATCAGCCTTCAAAGAAAAACAAACAAAACCCCCATACACTTCTACTGGACACCAACTCATGGTGGCACTGGTCACACAGATGAGACACTGGCCATCCTGTGCAGCTCCCCTCAGGTCTGTAATACGCCTTCCCTCTTGCTCCACTTGCCCCTGGGCAAGGGAGGTGCTGCCAGGCACAGCCTTGCACCTGGTGGGCTGGAAATCCTCCACCTGGAATGATTTACCTTGCTGCCTTGCTTGTTATTTGCTTCCACATCTCCCTGCAAGAGATAGGCAATTGATTTCACTTGTAGCACAAAAATGAATGTGAACAGTTAAGTAAATGGTATCTAGTGGGTATTGGCAAGAGATGCAACTTACATAATAGTCCAGTTCATAAAAGGTGTATACTAAAAATAAGCAAATAACTATATGCAGTGGGATAAGTATAGGCTGGCAGCAATGAATTGTAAATAAAAGCTGTGGAATGTTTTCCGTATGGAGCTTTCTGATCATGACAAGATGGTATCATCATACTCACAGGTAAGAAGCAGAGGCACCTACTACTTTAAAAACTTATGCATTTGTCATACAGCTAGATTCATGTTGTAAAAACAGTGAAAAAAGCCCCTTCTATAAGGATAGACAGGAGGTTTGGGAAGTGAAAGTGACAGAAAAATTCAAGCATTCAGTGCACATTCAAAACATCACAGAAACAAACAAAAGATCTGCAGAATTCAGTACATGAGCTACCATTCACTGGCTTCTGAAGGTAAGCCACATTCACCTATTAGCATTCAGATTTTAAATGACCCTTTAAACACAAATACTAGGTTTTAATCCTGAACTGAGGAGTGATTGTTTCTTCTGAAACAATTACAACAATGCCTTAAATTGTGCTCTTAATAGAATTTGAAACTCTAATCCCAAATAGCCCAAACCCATGAGATTTTGTTTACTGACTAGCACAGGCAGAAAGCCTGGCACTCTGTGTAGACAGCACCTAGCAGGTTTTGAAGGATCTATGTTTTATTGTACTTATCAGAGGGTGTGTAAAACAATATTTTAAAAATTCCATCATAATTTTAAAGTTCTTCTGTTCAATTCTATATAAAAAACCCATAAACCCTTCATTTTATAAAGGTATGAATGACATGCCTGTAATGAGATACAGCAGGATGAAACCTTACAAGATTCTGAAGAACCTGGAGTGGTTTGGTTTTTTTTTCATGTGCTTCTTAATGCCCAAGTACAAACAATAAACTATCCCTATTGTGTCCTTCCAAGTACTAGAGGCTGTTGGATTGTGCTTCCTGTAGCAAACTCGGCAGTGACTTTTGTTACTTTCTTTAATTATTTTTTATTTTCTGTGAAATAGTCTTTATAACTTGGTCTTTCTTGTATAAAATAAAATAGAAGCCTAAAGGCTGCATTTCCTGAGAAATATTTAAAAGGAAGCAAAGCTATCTGCGCTTAGTGTTTTGCTGCTCAGATTTCTTAAATATGAATGTAGTTTCTTCACAAATTTATTTAATCTTGTGAAAGAAAAATGATTTATGGCTGGCAGTAGACCTTGAGCATTTTTGATACAAGGGGGAATGCCTTCCTTTCTGCACAGCACCTAACATAACAAGAAAGTTGCTTCTCATGTCCTTCCCCTGTGGCCACAAACAACCTGGGATACAAGGGCAGGGATCTTGATCCTGTAGCTTCACTCAGAAGGTACACAGCAGCAGAATGGAGAGGGGCATGTCTCAGATCACGTTTGTGGCCACAGGGGAAGGACACGAAGACCAACTTTCTTATTCTGTTAAGTGCTTGTGCCATCCCACCGAGCAGGTTTGGTGGGATGGCTGCAGCATGCTCTGTCTCCCAATGGCTCAGTCTGATCAGGGGCTACTGCTGGTGTTTGCTGAAGCAGAGGAACTGTACTTACCATACTAGTTATCACACGAGGCATGGCAGCTCTGAGAAGACATGACTGTGGAAGTAACACAGAGAGAGAGAGAGCTGATAGTCAATGACATTTTGAATGACTCCTGTACAAAGCACCTAATATTCTGCTGGAACCATATTTGCAGCTCCATGATGCTTTCTTCTGCTTGCACCCTAAAAAAGGAAAGAACAGAGATTTTTCTAATGAGACTTGATTACCATCTCCCTGCAACTGCCTTGCTCTTCAGCCATGGAGTATATTAGCACTGCAGAGGTAGCCACACTCAGTACCACCACCATTTTTACTTACATTAGATTTACATTTCATTTTCAGTTTCAAAATTAACTATTAGCAAAATGTTCACAGCATAAAAGAGGTTAGATGGCAATGTTGGTCAGGGATTGAGAATTGGGTGTTCTGTACTGTAGCTGTTACTTTGTTTGGTCTTAGAAAAGGGGAAGACCAAGACAGCTTTACAATTTTTGCATGCATCATTGTGTGATTCTACATTTTAGCACAGTTCTGGCATGGTGATGTTACCAAGCACCTTCTTGAGAAAAAAAAAACTCTTCTCTAAGTTTCTTTGGAGGGCCATAATGGGGTGTTTGGAAAGAGGATAAACTGAAAGGAGTTTCCCAGTAATAGGCTTTTCTCTAAGTGTAAATAAATCATCTTTCTACGTTGACAAAACCTATTAATTTACACAAATAAATAAAGGTTCTGCATAGGTTCCTCTTCATATGGCTCAAATCTCTTAAATTACAAACAACAGCTACACAGTCATTGTTAGCAAAAGTGAATTGAAAGAGGATAAGTAATATGAGCTATTTTTAGAGGCAGTAAGAGGCAGAACTCTTCACTTTCAGAGAAAAGTAATTTTTAGGAGTGAGTGGCTGAGCTGGTTAAAAGTCTTCTCTGTGTCTGTATAAATGTCCTTAGAGCTACCTGACTTCATAGTTTATTATGTTTATGTAGAAGCTTTAAATTGTAACCCTTTGAGTCAAAAAGATAAAATTTCTATTTTATAGAGATTCACTGTTATTTAATGTTCAATGACTTAATATTCAAAGTTCACCCAGAGTCAGAAATTCTCTTCAAGACAGAATATCATGACTGAAAATCCAACTATTTTTCCAAATAAAGTAATTATACCTGTAGCTATAACTAAAAAATAAAACATCTTGGAATGAGTGGAGTATATTTCTCACTGCTTTGTTGAAACTTTTGTGTACAAGCTTTAATGCATTTTGAAAGGGTAATTTAAAATGTAATGAATTATGTTTATCCTTAAGATAAATTAGTTCTGAAATCTTTGTCAGAATAGCAAGGATTTTCAAACACATCCAAAAACCCTGGGAGCCTAATCACAGTACATGTTTCTAATCCACATAAGTGTTTTAAAATTCCATTGATTGATCCTTGTTTTCTTGTTTTTTTGCATAGTTCACAAGCAGTTTGTAAAACTCTTCCTATATCTTTTTTTTTTTTTTTCTGTACAATTGTGGGCAATCAGGCTACAATAGTTCTCTTAGTCACAGAGGTCACACACATTACAAACAGGTTGTTAAAATCATTCAGGCCACCTAGATAATAAAGTGCAATTTAAATGTAATTTGAATAATACTGTCTAATACAAAGTGCTGACAGTTTTCCAGTCTAAGGCAAGTATTTCTTGAGCTTGTCATCTTTAGAGTATTTGGTGTTATACAATAACTGAAATTTGGATGTAACTGCTGAGTACTAAATTAGGTACTTGGCACTTTGTCTTCTAGTACGTGAACATAATTTCAGAACAGCTCATACTGAGAGAGAGGAAAATAGGGCAGAGATTAGCAAAATCATGCAACAACTTTTACTTAATAAGGTAATTCTGAAAATCTTTGATATAAACAAATATTGTTAGAGAATATTATCATATACTAAGTTACTCTACATAAAATTTTGCAAAATGTGGAAATTTACATTTCTATATAAAAAAGATTTTAAAAATTCCCTTTCTTAGAGACTCATAGAAAATTTTATATCAGCAAATGATCCTTTCTAAAGAAAAGATAGTTAAAATCCCTCATATACTTCCCATGTACCAGCGAGCAGATTGAAAATACAACGTACTCTGAATTAAACTCTCAGTTTTCTTTATCCTGACATAGCAGCAAACTGTCCTGCTAAAATTCATGAGCATGCTAAGCATATGCAGTCAAAACCAGTAGGTTTTTAACCCTTCGTTAGGATAACCAAGCACCAGATGTTTTCACTGTCTGGCCACCTACAAGCCTCACAGAAGGAGGTCCTTAGCACTGCTGGTTGTTGTCACCAGTGCTAGTGCCCATTCTTCTATAAAACTTCCTCAGCACCCTCACTAGCTGAAGTGAAGTCCTTTTATGAACTCAGACTTGCTGTCCTGCTTAGTGCTGGAGGCTACCCTTCAGTGTTGTGCCATGAGGGAAGCAAGCAGCCTGTTCAGCTTTGCCTTCTGCTCACAGTAGAAACTTCTTTATGCATTTCTCTGTTCAGGTTTCCTCCCTGCCTTTCCCTCCTACCAGGCAGGCTCTGGGTTTAGCTCAAATGGCTCTTAATGCACCCGTTCTGCCTACCCATGCCTCTGTCAGTACATGTGTCTCCAAACAGCCTCTTCTCCATGGGGGCCATCTCAGACAGGCTTTGATAAGCCCTAACTTCACTTTTGCCTGCCCTTCTTGCCACTGCCTTTTGTTGTGCATTTTAATTTGTGCTGTCACACAGTGAGCCAGGCTGGAGAAATAACTAAGATCAAAACCAGCTTCTTTCCCTCCCTACAAAGCTGATTTATCCAGCACTTCCATCAAAGGAAATATTCATCAAACTCTAGCCTGAGTTAAAAAGGAAATCCTTCCTGTTAAGTCACACATGCCCTTCCCTCACAGTACTCGGTCCATTGGGCCTTTCCTGGTATCAATCCTTCTCTTCAAACATTTTCCTATTGTCTGACAAATTTGATTAGCCAAGGTTTTCTAAACTGCTTCTGTGCTATTCTTCAAATGGCTTCACCGTGATGAGACAGCAAAGTTCAGGAGTCCATCAATATTCCAGTTTTTGAACATGTCAATCTCTATCAGAATGTGGCAGGTTACACCTATGTTGTGATAGTAACACAGAAATATTTTGACAGCAACCAAAATTTTTCAGTTGCACAAACATTACCCTAGAAATTATGTACAGCTCCTTCCATCATTCTTTTTAATTTTCAACCCCTTGTAAGAAATTAAACCATTTTTGATAGAACATGAAGTCTTTTCATAATTCTTGTTTCAGTCCTGCTAAGCCTCATCAGTACAATTAGTGCTCTTGTTCAAAGTTGACTACTCACTTATATGAAGTTGCTTGTTTTGGTGAAATGTCTGCAGAAATAGACACACTTTTTGCACCAGAGTGCAAATCTTGTATAGGTTGCCTCCAGTGACAAGGAGCCCCGTTCATCTCAAATATTTCTGTAGCTCCACTGGCAGTTTTGAACTTTAGATCACCTATAAACCATGTAAGCATGCAAATACTATAAAAGACTTAAAAGTAGATTTCCATTTACCAGCAGTCTTTTGGAACAGCACAATGAGCTGAATGAAAGATGAGTCAAACCAACAAACCTGTCTTTGGATACCTCTGTTCTGTAAAGTGTCCATTTGAGTCCAGACACAAGTTGCTCTAACCAAAGGCAGTTTCCTTCCCAGAGCCAGTGTGTAGGATCCCTCTCAGATGACAACTGAAAATGCATGGCATTTCTCTGCTTCTCATGGGGCAGAACATGGAGTTTGGAACATTCACAGCAGTTAATCTGCAACAAAGCAAAACAGAAAACAAATAACACCCTAAGTATTTTTGTGTCGTACTTGGTAAATAAAACATTGCATTTAGGTTTTATCCAGATTATTATGCCTTAAAATTTCCCCCCTTGAATAAATGTAAAGTTTTTCTATTCTGCGTATTAACTAGTATCTTTACTTTTATCAGTGGCCACCACTGCATTTTTTCAATCATATTTTTAGGCTTCCCTGAAAAATTGGCATGGTTCCCAAAATTGTTAATAAACTACAGTATCCTGAGTGATGAGTCCCTATACAATCTTTTAAAAATATCATCTCCATTTTTAATTTCAAGTTTAAATGCAAAAGGATAGATTTTTCTCACCACTTCACAAAAATCTATTTAAGACTCTCCATTAAAATAATTGGAAAGAAATATTATAAAATATGCAAAATATTTACCATTTGTTGCAGTAAAAGGATTATACTTTTTAATAAGATCATATTCTCATTTTCATTATTATATTAACAATAAACACCACCAATAATATATATATAATAGTTATAACCAAGTTACATTCAATCATAAGGAAACTAAACAAACTAATAGAAGTATTTTATTTTGACATAATTAAGTCAATGAAGCAGCTCTTTATTGGTAATGAAAACAGGATGCACACAATTATCTTCCAAATAATAATATAAAAATCATACCATTTTAAAATTCTAGCTATACATGAAACAGTACATGCACTTTCTTGCCAACAAATTTCACATATTTTTTGCTTGAGAGGGGAATTATTTCATAGTGGTTTTGAAAGCTTAGGCATCTGTATGTCATTCCAGCAAAAATTCACTGTGTTTTTATTGATCAAGAGGTTTTCAGTTGCTCAGAAAAAGTAGGAGGCTGGAAAAATGTTTGCATAGGAGGAAAGAGAAACAGCAATTATGGCCACATTATTTGTGAACTGCACAATAAAATAAGGCTGATGTTGGTTCAACTCTCATTCTAGCATTTCTTAAAAATAGCTATAAATGTGAGTACTCCACAAGCATAATAAAGATTTTGTTTATTTCGGTTGTTTCAAATGAGGAATAAAAAATAAATAGCTTTATAGCAGGCAAACTGCAGTGGTGGAACTGTGTGCACAGGAGAGAGGAAGGTGTGCTAATCAGCTTCATATCCTATTCTCAGATCCCTGATAGAGCAGCTAAGTGATAATCCTTTCCTGTGCAGCACAGGAAGATATCACTTTCAATCTGGACATCAATATGAGAAGTGTAATGACAATTCAGAGCTGGTGCTGATAATTACAAAGCTAGAGGGACTGATTTATGAGGAAATGGCATTGATTACAATTTGCATGGAGAGGACTTTGTCAGAGAGGATCACAGTGCTGTGCTGGTGTTAGACCAACATTTTCAAAAGCAAGCCTGAAGAGGCTGCTGTGCTGCTGGGGCCTCTGGTAGTCAGCAGACTTTCTGAGCAGGTGTTCAACAAAGCCAAAGCCTGCTGAACACCCTTGTGCTGAATACTCTGGGAGGAAGTGGTGGGCATTTAGTTGAAGCACCAGACACATTACTTTTATTTGTAAAAATGCTCAGGAGCCCACTTCACTTTGTTTCCATCCAGGTGCCTCTGATTTAAACAGCTCAAAGGCATACATAAAGTAAGTGAAGGCTCATTAGAATTGTACAGACACTACTGATAGCTCAGCAGACTGTGTACTTGGAACCTCTAACAGAAAAAACAAAATAAGCTCTCTGCCACTACTTCCCCTAAAAGTATGAGTATTCCCCTCAGGAATCAAAGAAATTGACTGAATATGAATGGCACTATAATAGATGAAAGAATGTAGAAAGAAAGAAGTGGCTATTGAGATGCTTGGATGAAACTGAAATTGGGAATTGCAATTCAAAGGGTAGTTACAGCTGCAGAGTCACATTCACCACCAAAAGCACCACGAATGTAAAATGATATTATGGACAGGGGAGATGTGATTAGATATAAAATATAGCCACATTCTCAAAATGGTGAATGAAAGTCAATGTGAACTTTCCATAATTTTTTACCAAGAACTGCTTGGAAGACAAACATTTACCCAAAGGATGAACTTGAGAAGGACTTGAAAAAATAAATCATTTAGGGATCAGCCAGGCTTCTGACAGATTTATGCTGTACATTCATGATCACCAGAAAATACCTCCTGTTCCTCTCCTTGTTACACAGAGTTGCAGTAGAAATGTTAAGATTGTGGTGACTGGAGAATGAATGGGAGTGCCTGGAACAAAGGGCAGGAGAAGACACAAGGGCCCACAAGTTATTGGAAGCCAGATTCGTGGGATGCCAGCAGACTGTGCAGTTTTTAACCCAAGTTAGGAGACAAAGGACAGTGAGTAAATCCCGATGACTCACAGAGCTGGGACAGGATGGAGAGGCTAAGGACTGTCAGCTCCTAAATGGTGTATAAAAGGCAGATCCAAGATCAGCACATGGAGCTCATTGAAAAGACTGGAGAAACTGGAGAAAAGCTCAGCATGCAAATGCAAATCAGCTCAGCTAACAGAAGAAAGGAAATAATATCTGCTATAAAAATAGAAAGGTATTGTAGAGCCTTTACATTGTTTTCCATGGCTTATTCTGTGGAATTACTAATTTGTATTAATGGAAATGAAGGCATTGCAAAGCATTATGAGATAACCTTGGAGAAGGAGAGCTCAGCCTCAGCACACAAGTAGTGAGATGTGTCTTTATGCCCTAACAGAGGACCAAAGGCAGCTGACTTAGGAATGAGCACATAAAAAGACTTTGTGCTGCTGCTGCTAGTAATTATAGTTTGCTTTTATTTTGATGCAGATGCATATAGGTCATTGCTTTGGTGAAATGCATACTTCAGTAATAATTTTCAAATCTCCCAGGTTCTCATAATTTAACCGTTGTTAATTATTTAGCAATTATGCTGATGAAAGGTTAAAAATTATTGCAGAGGCATTTCTTCAGTCAGGGAAAGGAGATATGGTTTAAAATTAAATCCTTGCAGTTGGTGCTAAATGGTAATGACATGATATTTTTGTTTTACTGGATCTAACAGCTGATTACTTAGAAACTTCAACATTGGAAAGTGGTCTAGAAAAGTATGGTGAGCTAAGTAACAGACAAGCATTTCTACTGAGAGATTTGTACATGGTAGACGCCTACAGAAATACAGCTTGCAAATTAATATCTTGATGATCACTGAAAGACCACAACATGGTATTTATATGTTGGAGCTCAAACATAAAGTAGGCAGAGACTACAGATAGGAGTGTTAAGAAAAACTTTACCTTTCTAAGAAAGAACAAGGTGTATTTTCATGCATTACCAATGCAGCAAATCATGCATATTTAAAAGGTAAGTTCTGTCAATAGCAGGTGTAGTATCTTTTAAAAATCATACCTGAACTACCAGTTCTGTTAAACTGCAGTTTTCTTTCTCCTTTTTTGTGAAATTTAGCATAGTTTAAGGACCGTAACTACCATGTCCTATCAGCCATTTCAGATTGCAAAAATTAAAATTAAATCTATTTTATTTCTCCCACAAACAATAGCTAATATCCAGGGTACACAGAAAAGACTAGAGTTCATGATTCCTTATGCTCTTTAAAGGAAAGTCAGAACTAATGAGCCAAGCCTTATGGCTCAAAATTAATAACTCCAGAACATCTCAGAGTAAGAGCAAGAAAGCATCTCAAAGCCATCAGAGATCCCTGTGAAGAATATCCTGCCAAGCACCCACACTTAGAATGAGGAAGGTGCATTATAAGCACATTTACCAATTGCATCCCTGACCCCAGAGGAAAGTAGAGGGGAGGAATATAGCCTGCTCACACAAATGGATCTCAAATTGCCAATCACTTCTGGTGCCTCATTTTAGACATAAAATCTCCACTGAAAGATAAGCCAATCTTTTGAGTATGGCAGAGGCATTTAACATAATTCTGCATGCTGTAAACAAGAGTGAGGCAATTGATGACCTTGTACATGTTAGAAACAGCTAGAGCACGTGTTCAAGCTGTAGTAAGAGGAGAGGTATCAGCACATATAATCTAAGAACAAATATGAAGATTCAATGATGCCTTGCAGTATATGGAAGTATATGGCAGCATATGGGATTTCTCAAGCATTTCTGAGTATTTATTAGAGTTTAGTATCAAAAGTTAACTACAACATATTTTAGGAAATACCATGTTTATGAAGATGGGGAAGTATAATCATTCTGTCAGGTTTTTACTGGCAGCAAAAATATATGAGTTCTAAGTTCAGAAGTCTCTAATAAACACCAGCTTAAATTTATACCCTGGAACTTGAAAATATGAAACTAAATGAACTAATTATTCCCATTTGCAAATGGCAGATTAACTTAAATATTAGAAAAATATTTCACTGAAGCAGGGAGGAAGAAGTAGTGAGGCAGAGGGGAGGTATTTAATACATAACCACTTCTTTCCAGAAGTGCAAGCATATAATGTGTAGTGCTCTTTCATCTCCTGTGCTGGGACTGTGGCTGTTATTCTCACCCTGTGATAACACCTCAATCTTGCAGGGTATGGCATCTGGGCTGGGGGATGTGTTCCTACACTGCTGAGGAACAAGGCCCACAGCTACTGAAGCTCCATGGGTCCACAGCTGTGAGGGATGGTTTCAGTTTGGTTTGTTTTTTTTATGTATTAGACAACCAACCCAAAGTTACTCAAGGTTTGGATAGATGTTTTTTAAACTATTTTTCTGCTTCTTCTCACAGTGTTCATCAACTCTGAACACATCCCTTATTCTTTCTGATGCTCAAAAATTCCCACCCATTTTTACTTTAGCATTCTTACTTGACGTTAGTGTTTTTGCAGGTTTGTGAGTTTTTTGCATCAAGGTTTGCTTGGGGTTTTTTTGGGATGCAACAAAAAAAAATCAAAACCAGTCACACATTTTCTGGGAGAGGGAGATGTTAGACATTACTGACCTGTAAGTAGCACTGTTGTTCTGGGGTCATCTAAAGCAC